CCGCGACAAGAGAGGGAAGGGGGGGGGGGGGAGGGAGGGGTCGCTAGACAGGGCGGCGGCGGTGAGGAGGCGCGTCGCCTCCTCTCGCCCATACTCGAGCATCACGTTGGCCCCCAGCCAGAGGCAGACCTGTCGCCCAGAGTTGCAGGTCAGTCGCCTTTCTTACTTGGTTGCGAGGCAAGGTGCTCCACAGGGCGAACCGTGTTCTCCCTGTGTACCGGGACGATGGCCTTGGCGTAGACACACTGCGCAAGCTCGTAGTGCACTGTGAGGGACTCACCTTGCTCGGCCTGAGACGGCACACGCGCCGGAAAGCTCGTCAAAACGTACGCCGTCAGGTGTTTCCTGGCGGGTTGAGTCCGGGCTCACAACGGGGAGACATGTACGCCTCGGCTGCGACAGCAGAGTCTTCCGTTCTCTCCCTCTATCGAGCCGCGGAGCCACGACGGCCTGGCTAGGCGGGCGGCGCACACCCGCTGCTGCATCTGGAGCAGAGCGTTGTACGTGGACTCAATGTCGGGCACCTTCGCCTGCAGCCGCTTCTTGCGCTGGGACATCCGCTGCTCGATCGCCTTGCAGGCGGAGTAGAAGGCCTGCAGCTTCTCCAGCGCCGCCTCGGCCGAGCCCTCCTTTACCTGCGCGAGTCAAAGGGATTGGCGGCGTGCGGTTTCGCGGTGCGCAGAGTGGGCCGTGGCTCCGCGGCACCATGTACTTATCGATGTCATCGATGAAGGTGGCCACCGGGATTTGCTCGGTGCTCGCGCTCATGTCGGCCACTCTTGTGTCGCGTGCGTGCACCAACTATCTAGATAGCGGGGCGAGCGGGTGCTCGAGGGCGTTGGCCAGAGCGGAAGAACAAGAATTCTGTCATGTCGCGCGCAGCCGGTGCCCGGTGGCCTCGGCCTCTTCGGAAAGGGTACCTCCGGTGAGATGAGTGGCTGCCAGTTCGAGACTGGGGCCGATCCAACTTGAGTTATTCGGAGGAGGAATCCGGCCAGCACGCCAGCAAACACAAAACAATCTCTCTATCTCGCCAGCACGGGCGGGTACAAAGAGGGGGTCCCCGGAGAATCCCCAGCCTGCGGAAACGTAGTGTCGCTCAAGAGGTGCGATACTGCGGGGGAGTGTAAGGTGCCTACCTATGGGCTTCCAGTATCGGACCTATAGGGACTTGCGCTTTTGCCGAAAAGCCGCCGAAATTCGGACAATGTCTGGTCAGGGCCACGCTCTGAGCGTCACGATCGGCAGGAGCGACGAGGCGGACGGGGACCGCAGGGATGGGCAGGCGCGCGGCAGGGCTGGCGAGGCGCGCCGCAGGGACGGCGCGGCCGGCAAACCGGCACTCTTCGACGACGAGGCGCACAGCCTGAGTCCGCCGAGCGACAAGGGCGGGTCTCCATTCCTAGGCCGACCTTTCCAGCTGGACGGGCAGGGCGCGTCCACACTGAGCATCGCGACCAGCAGCAGGGACGCCGAGGCGCTCTTCGGCGACGACGCGCACCGCCTGAGCCCGATAAGCGAGAAGGCGCCCGACGAGGAGCCGTTCTTGGGCCCGTCCCAGCTGGACGAGACGCAGGGTGGTTGCCGCCCCTTCCCCGTCCCCGCCCGCGTCCCCGTCAAGGCCGACAAGGCGCTCTTCGATGGCATCCATGAGAACGCCGCGTCGGTTCACTCGGCGCTGAACCAGCCAAAGCAGCTCGAGCAGCTCCTCCAGTGGAACAGCGCGGCCGCGAACCAGCGGGACCCAGACGGAGACCGGCGGCCCCTGCACTGGGCGGCCGCGCGCGGCAACACGAAATGCGTCGAACTGCTCTTGCACGCGGGCGCCGATCTCCGCGCCGTCGATGCAACCGGCCAGACGGCGGTGCAGCTGGCGCGGCCGCACCTGGAGGTCGTTGCTCTGCTGTCGGCGTGGGTGAGGAAGGCAGGGCGTTCATAGTACGGCGCTCTCTGGCGCTCTGGCCCGTGGGCGGTGCGGCGTGGTCCCACCCGTCTGTGCTCGGTCAACGTGCCTGCCGGGTGTCCCATGCGGTCACTCTGTGCTCTGTCTACGCATGCCGTCCTTCCTGTCTGTGTCTGCGAGTACCGCACATGTAACCACCGTCACTCTTGGTCTACGAAAAACGACGCCAGCCGCCCGCGCCACCGACCGGGGCACGGCACAAGGGCCCGTCCGCCGTCCCCCCCGTCGTGTCTCTCTCGCGCTCGTGAGTCGTGTGCCATGTTAAGCCGTCGCGGTCGTGTGTGGACTCTCTGGAAAGTGGAATCGGGGCTGTGGTTCGCGCGCCATTTCGCATTTGCTCGCGGTCGCGCGTCGAGGCGAGACATGTGGCCGGCTCTTGCCAGACCAGTCTTTTTTATAATAAGTAGATCGTACATATACACGACGCGCGCGCGCGCGCGCGCGCGCTCCGACGAGCCTCCTATCTAGTAGAATTTTGTGTCAGCGAGTTTTCAGCTCCCCTCCTCCCGGCTCCCCACGAAGATCTGCAGCCGGCCCGACTGCAGCTGGCGAGCTGGGTCGTGCAGCCGCCAAAACGCGCCACATGACGCCCACCGCCGCCGCGTTGGGCGGCGCGCGCCGACGCCGACCATCACCACCGACCGACGGCTCGCACGGCCGTGCGGTGAGCAAAAATTTGGGTCGCTGCGCGCCTGACGGATGCTCTGCGACGTCTGGACGCTCGCCAGAAACGCCAGGAAGCTTGCCTTCCATCCCTGGGCCCGAGGGCGAACGGCAGTGGTCGGCAGCCTCTGCGACGCTCCGATCGGCTCCTCGACCTCATCGCCTGCGACGAGCCAGCATGGCTCGTCGCTCGACGGCAGCCTGCTCAGTATGCTCTTGGCATTCTGTACAGCCTCGCCAGGCTCTCTGAGACAGCCTGCAGGGCCGGCGCGGACCGCCTTGGGCGCGATGGCCCTCCTCAGTACCTACCTCTTTGATGCCTGTCGGCTCTCCAATCTCGTCGCCGGCGGCAGGCCCGCATGGCGCGCTGCTCGATGGCAGCCTGCTCAGTACGCCTTGGACAGTGACTTCTGCCTCGCTGCTCTTACTGCAGCCGCCTCCGGGGCCGGCGCCGGCCGCCTCGCTTCGCCAGTGCTGTCTACACCTGCGATACGCGTGTCGGCTCGCCGCCCGCGTCGCCCGCGGCGGGCCCGCATGGCTCGCCGCTCGTCGGGAGCGTTCCCAGCAGGCTGTGCAGGGCAATCTGCCTCACTCAGGGCGCCGCCGCCGCTGCGCGGGGCCGCCACCGGCGCTGCTGCCGTGAACACTGCCGCCGTGTACGTCACCATCGCCTCTCTCCGTCGCCGATCTCGCCGACGCCGCTCGCCGCTCGCCGCCGCCCTGCCCTGCCCTGCCCTGCCCTCGCACAAACAAACACACACACACACACACACACACACAACAGACACACATACAGACACACAAAACACGGCCTGCCCCAACCTCGAGCGCCCCGCGCCTCCCGCCTCACGCCCTGCGCCTCACGCCTCGCGTCCCACGCACGCCCCGCGCCCCGCGCCCCCACGCCCCTCACCTCGCGCCTCACGCCTCCCTCCCCACCCTCTCAGGCATTTCTCCTCCCTGCTGCTCGCCGACTCCTCCTTCCCCCGCATGACCGACGACTACCCGTCCTTCGGCGACTCCTCCCTCTTCGGCGCCAACGTCTACTACTGGGGGACCGTCGCCCTCGGGCGTACTGGAATGATCCCAGCGGCACACGTCTACGAGGGGGGGCTCCGAAAGGTCGGCATGCCTGGCATGTCGGGCGACTAGGCAGGTCATTACTAAGAATGTCCCTCGCTCCTGCTCCTCTCTCGGAAGACGCGCGCCGGCCTGGGGGACTCGCTTGCGATCCCGCTCCAGCCAGAGGCCGCGTGAGGCGTGTGGGACGGTGTACGCTGGGGCTCGGCCCCAAGTGCACTGGCCTCGCGTCTCGAGGGGAGGACGGCTCGTAACTGAGGTCCTGCGGAGACAGTCGTCCTCCCCTCAACCCGACGAGAGTGGGCGGGCAGTCCCCGTGGCTGCAGTCGCGCTTCCGAGCCGACTCCGCCCCTCTCTCCACCCTCCCGGCCATTCCAACGGCCAGGCCGCTCGCTTAAGGCTGATTGGCTAGACGAGCGGCCTACCTCCAACGGGGCAGTCTGCTCACGCGTGGAACCTGCCCGCCTCGGTGGGAGGTGGTTTGGCGCCGACAGACAGGGGAGGTCTAAGCCGAACCCGCCGGGCCGCTGGCGGGGTGACGGTAGACCACCACTGCAGACAGCCCTTCCCGACGGGGACGCCACCACCCTCGCCCAGGGATCTACAATGCTGTCTCAAGGTCCGACCTGTGGGCACCGCCTGCGCTCGGCACCGGGCACCGCCTCGGTATACAAAATGCGCCTGCGGGCGGACCCTCACAGATCACAGATCACTTGCGCTTTTGGGCGGTGGCAGCAGCCTCTCTTCGGGCAGAAATTCACGGAGGTCGTCGCTTAGTTAGGAACTAGAGTGAGGCCCTTGACGGGCCCCGCCCCCAATGGGGCGGGCGGGGTTGAATGGGCTAGCGCTGGCGTGGCGTTGACATGAGCACAAAGTTGCTAATGTGCGTAGACGAACAAACACAGAGTAGGGTTGAAATCGTCCACGTAAGGCTTAGCCTTAGGGAGTGCTTGGGGTGGCCTCAGGCATCCCCAAGGGAGTCGCAGCGGTGCCCCATAAGCAGCTTAGCGATTGTCGACCTCGAAGCGCGTTCGTTTGAAGAAAGGCACACGGGACTATCGGGCCACCGGAGAGTCACCGGTAAACTTCGACACTTTGAGGGGTGAGAGCATGCATTATTGTGGCATATCATGTCACATAAGGTCGAGCTTGACCGCAGAAGCATCAAGAAGCGGATACTCCAGCTCGACTGTGCCGGCAAACTGCCTCCTCACGCCGGCCGGCTGCCAGCAGCCGTCGCGGCCCGTGGCGTGCTCCAGAGAGGGAGAGAGGTCGAGTCCGCATGGCTCAGGCCGGCCAGAAGGTGTGTGGCGACGGCACCGTGGCAGGAGTGCGGAGAAGAGCTCGCCGAACGCGAGCAGCGGAAGGCCGAAGTGTGCCAGCGCGAGAGCCTCGCGAACGGGTGCAGAAGGAGCTCGCCGTGACACGATGCCGGGCGGTGGTGGTGCTCTGGCGGCTGTGCACAGTGGGAAAGGTCAGGCTGCAACAGCGTAGCACGATGGTAGTGCCCCGCTGCAGCCTGGCCTGACATGCACAGGGCGAACAGAGACCTTGCTATCGCCTGGCGCTCGTCTGGGCAAACTTTGACCGCCGCCCGGCTCGCCACGAGCACGCAGCGACAAAATGATGACCGTGTCGAAGTTGAGGCTGGTCGAGAGGAAGAGGCTGCCGTGCGAGCCGGCAACTGGCTGGCTCGGCGTGAACGGCCGGCGGCGACTTTTTGCCGAAGAGCGTGCCTGCCGAAGAGCGAGTCTGACTCAAAGTGCACGGAGTGGGTGCCGCCGACCGTCGGGAAGAGTCCGATGGGTGCCAGGAGGATCCAGAGAGCGATGAAGGCGCAAATTGCGCCGCCGAAAGCGGCGGTAGAGGCCAGGACGTGCGCGTGGGCCGGTCGGGCCACGTCCCGGGGCGAGCGATCGAGGGCCGCGGGGCTCGCCCCGCCGGCCGAGCGGTGCGAACGGCCGGTCGCCCGCTTCGGGTTGGACCCGCCGGGCGGTCCGGCGGCGGATGGCACGGCCGGGCGGGCCCCGGGAGGCAGGCGGGGCCGCGACAGGCGGCAGGGCAGAAAATCCCATTCGGAGAGCGTGTGGTCCGACCCCTCTGCTACTTTCAATGATAGGGACGCCAACCCGCGCCTGCCCATTCGACCGTTCTGTATATATATGCTGTCGCTCTCCGTCTTCGTGGACGAGCTCAGCAGCATTTCTGCGGATGTCGCAGCCCCCGCCGTGGTGTTCCGAGTCGATGACTACCCGAGCCTCGCCCTCCGCCCACGACCCTTTGGTTCCGCGCTGAAGAAGGGACGTACCGCCCTCCCATTTCGATCAGGCAAGGCCTGCCTCATCTCCGCCCACGCGCCTCGCCCACGCACCCTGCAGCTGCTCCTCGTCGACCTCATCGAGCCGCCTCGCGGTGACGGCAGCGGCGGCGGCAGAGGCCTGCTTCTGGGCCGAGCGAGCATAGCCCTCACGACGTGCGAAGCCAACGAGGGCTTCTCCAACGGCGAGCTCCCGCTGACCGACCTCGCCGGCTGCGCGGTCGCCACTCTCGTCCTCCGCGTCCGCCTCGCAGCGCAGGACCCGACGCTCACCCCCCTCCTCGACGGCCAAGCCGCGGCGGAAGCTCCGCTGCTGCGCCCAGAGGAGCCGCCGCGCCGCACAGAGACGGCGGCTGCCTCGTCGGACAGCATTTGGGGGGCAGGGTCGTCCAGCACCGCTCCGCCCGGCGATGCTGCCTCTGCCTCATGCGGATCGGCGCGGGTGGCGGTGCCCTCGGCGGCGACGTGTCCCACAGCACCTGCTGCCACCGATCGGCCTTCGGCGGCGATGGGCCCTCCCGGCGGCGCCACCGAGCCGGCCTTGCACCCGACACACGCCGGCGTGTGTGGGGAGGGGGTGGACGGGCCCGGATGGGCGCATGCTCTTCCTTCTCCTTCTCCTCCTGCTCCTGCTCCTCCTCCTCCTCCTGCTGCTGCTGCTGCTGCTGCTGCTGCTACTGCTACTACTGCTCCGGCCGGTGGGCCGTTGAAAGGGCCGCCGCCGCCGCCAGTCCGCGCGGCGCCAGCGCTCTTCTACCACAACGACCCCGCCGCCATCGCCGAGCTCGAGGCCGCGACGGCGGCGGCCAAAGCGGCCGCCATTGCCGCAGCCGCCGCCTCTTCTTGGGGCGGAAGCGGCGCCGCCGTTGCGCCGCCGCAAGGGGAGTCGATGGCGGCGGCGGCGGCGGTGCGCGTGGCGGCGGCAGCGGTGCACGAGGCAGCCTCTTCCGCCGCGGCGGACGCGGATACGGTTTGGCGTCGGTGGAGCGAGGCAGCTGAGTCTCAGGCCGTCGGCCATGACGCGGCGGTCACCTCGTCCCTCCCCCGTCCGCGCCTCGCCGCGCCAGGCCGGGGCGGATTGCTACACGAGTTGCGGCTGGAGCTGGAGCATTTGTGCGCGCCGCCGCCGCGTCCTCCGGCCCTCGAGCGGATCGTCGCCGACGTCGCCAGCGGGATCGGCGGTGCCGCCGACTCTCGCGAGCTGTTGGCCGCCGTCGTGCCCGAGGGGGGGAGGCCAGGGCAGCGGATTCGAGTCGTGACTCCGTCGGGGAGGTGCCGCACAGCTGGCAATGCCGTGGCACCATCATATCGCGTTCGTGTTCCACCCCCCCCATCCCCAGCCCCTCCCCACCCCTGCCGGCAGGCGCGTCGAGGTTGCTGTGCCAGAGGGGCTGACGGCCGGCGACAGATTCGAGTCCCCCGCCCCAGATGCGAAACACAAGCTCGCTCTTCGCTCGGGGGAGCGCCACGCCGACTGAGGGCGCCGCCGTTCAATCGAGCACGGCCGCAGCACCCCCTTTAAACGCGTGCCCCCGCCTCTGGCCTCACACTGCAGGTTCCTCGCCGATGACGGCCCCTCGCCCGCGCTTCGGCGTCCCTCGCCCTCCGCTCGGCGAGGCGGCTCCCCCTCGCCGCCAAAACAGCCGGCTGCGCACAGCGGGAGAAGCGGCGCGCGCTGCCCTCTGTCCCTTGCGGGCCCTCAGCCCCGCCCTCGCCGCTTCCGTCCGTCGCAGCCGCCCTCCCCACCGCCAACCTCGTCTCCGCGTTCGCCGCCGCCCTCACACCCGCCGCCGCTGCCGCTCCATCGTCGCCGCCCTCGCCGCCGCGGGCCGACCACGAAGCGCAACCCGAAAAGCCCCCACCCCCCACCCCCCAGCCACCCACCCACCCCTCCGCCCCGACCCGTGCCAAATCCCACCATTCCCTCCCTCGCCCCCCTCGCCCCCGCCCCTCGCCCTTCCAGGCTCGCCATTTGGCCTCACTGCCACTGGCTGGCAGTCGCCGCCGCGCTCGCCTCCACGGTCGAGATCGGCGGCCAGAAAGGCGAGGGCGGCAGCCTCGCCCGCCGCTGCGGCCTCGCCCGCCGCTGCAGCTTCGCCCGCCGCTGCAGCCTCGCCCGCCGCTGCAGCCTCGCGCACCTCGCGTCGCCGCCGGACGAGTCGCGTTGTGGGTACGGACGGGCGCAGGCGGGCCAGGCGACAGTGCAGCACCGGGAGCTCGAGGAAGCCGGCGGCACGAGACTCCACACCGAAGCCTCTCGCGCGCAGGTGTGACTCCGAACCGAGCCCTTCGAGCGCGGTGTCGCGTGGTGGGCCTCGAGCTGGCGGCTGGTGTGGGCCCGTCCTTAGCCCGACGTCGCTGCGTGGCCTCGAGGGGGGCGGAGAGGCGTCCGCCGGCGCCGCCGCTTGGGGACACGTGCACAGCATGCCCGACCGACACTTGCATGAGATGTCCGATCACATGTGGTCCGTAGGTGCGCCGTGCCGCTACAGCGAGGCCGAGGCAGCGGCAGACCAACGGGCGGCGGCGAGGGCGGCGGCGGAGTCGAGGGCGGCAGTCGAGCCGCGGGTCGTCTCGCTGCTGGTGTCAATCTACCAGAGGCTCGACCCGCGCGGCCGCGGCCACGCTTCGCTAGTCAAGGTGCGGCTCGCATCGCTGTCCCCGGAATGGCACGTATCTAGATCAATTGGTTGCGCCCCAACGCTTGCGCAGGTGCTCCGCGAGCTAGAGAGGGCGGCTGACTCGGAGGCGCGGGGCTGGCCCACCCGCAAGCGAGCCTAGAAGCGGAATACGTGTCTGTGTATTCCGGCCAGCGCTCGAGAGGTCACGTATTTGGCTGTCTTCCGCCGTATTCCGCGGTATCCACCGCAGCCGGCGATTCACGCGGTGCTATGAGTACATTGCGCGAGACTGTACTCCCACCCCGACCTCGGTGCTTTCATGACGTAGGCGAGCGAGCGCCGCTGCGCGCCCTCTGCACGTCTCTCAACGCCCGCTGGCGCTCGGCCGTGCGCGGCGGCCGCGGCGGCAGCGGTGGCGGCGGAAGCGGCGGCGGCAGTGCGGACGCCAGCCGCGGGGGAAGCCGATTGCTGCTCCATTGGGACGAGGCGCTGGAGATCGCCGACCTCTCTCCGCGGCCCTACCGGGCGGGCGGAGGCCTTCACGCAGGTGACGCGGCCGTCGGGCCGCCAGGTCCGGCCGCGAGGTCTCGAGGGTACGGAGGGGCGGCGCAGGGCGGCGACTCGTGCGAGCCGCCGTCAGCGCTCTCGCAGGCGATGGCCGTGTTTGTGCTCGGCAACGCGCCGCGGCTCCCCACCCTCGGCACGCCATTTCGCTTCGATGGCGGCGGCCGCCCCGTTTCGATGGAGGCGGCCTTTGGTGTCGGGGGGGCCGCCACCGCCACCGCCACCGCTACGGCTGCCGCCACCGCTTCCGCCACCGCCACCGCTGTGCCGCCGTCCAGCTCGGGTGAGCGGCGCACCGGCGATGGCTCGGCCGGAAAGGCCAACGCCGGACGCGTGGAAGAATGCGGCGACGGGGCGGGTGGCGGGGCGGGTGGCGGCGGCGGGTGCGGGGACGCGGACGAGCGGGAGGAGGGGCTGGGAGTGCACTCGCTGGGAGAGGTCCCTCACTTGGCCGTGCCGCTGCAGGGCGACGTTGGGCCGAGCGGCGTGGTGATCCCACGAGAGGCGCTCGATCTCGGGCAATCTCGAGCAATCTTGGGTGATCTCCCGCAAGAGGTAGCGCCGCTGCCGGCGCCGGCACGCCCATTCGCAGCCGAGTCCGCCGAGCAACCGGAGCGACCGGCAGCAGCGACCAACGCCGGTGCCAGTGGAGCCGACGGCCAGAGCTCCACGAGTGTGGAGGAGGAGGAGGCCGCCGCCGAGCCCGCCGCCGCTCTGGCCAGCGCCGCCGTCGCCGTCGCCGCCGCGCGACAAGCTTTGGGCAATGGCGAGTCCACCGACACCGAGCCCGCCGCCGCCGCACTGCTCGCCGTTTCGACGGAGCCAGTGGTTGCTGCCGTCGAGCCCGCTGCCGCCCTCGCCACCGCCGCCGACGCCCTCGCGGCGGCTCGACGAGCGCTGGCCGATGACGCGGCCGCTTCCACGGACACCGCCGAAGCTGCCCCTCCCACCACATTAGAGCCTGACGCCGCCGAGCCCACCGCCGCCGAGCCCACCGCCGCCAAGCTCGCCACCGATGCCGCTGCAGAGGCGAAGGCGGTTCCACTCTCGATGACGACGCAGGCGGTGCTGCACCACCCGTCTCCGCGGCAGCGCCTCCTGCTGGGGCCCGGCGCTGCCGTCGTGGCCTCGCCCACGATGCTCGGCTTGGCGCTCTCCGCGGGCGCGGCCGAGGCGGCGCAGCAGCCGCCCCCGCAGCAGCCGCCCCAGCAGCCGCCGCATTCGCAGCGCCCGGTCGTGGCCGCAACCGCGGTGCGCCCGCTCGCCGCCGCGGCTCGGGTGGTACGGCCGTCCACCGCAGTGACCGCCTCGGCCGTGCGGGTGGTGAAGAAGGCGTAGCAGCGATGAGGATTTGGTTGCGCCGCTGTATAGACCTTAGTGGCGGCGCTGCAATTTTGAGCCCAAAACGCCCAAAAAACGAAACCCCCGTTTTTCAAACCGAGCATTGCCCCACTAGCACTACCAGGGAGCCGGAGCCACTTGCGCCTCGACCTCCGCCCGGGGCCGCGTGGAAAAAAGAAAAGAAATTGCGGAAACAGGACGGGGCGGAAGGTCAAGGGGGACGCGCGTTGTGCCAGCCCTTTCGATGTCGGTTGGGACCTGCCCAGGGGAGGCGCATGCGCTACGCCTTCTCTGTGCCGGCAATGTCAGCTTCGCCGCCGGCCCACCGGAAGAGGGCTGCGCCTATCAGGCCGCGTCGCTGCCGCTCCTGGTCCTTGTTTCGCTGGCAATGTTTTACGGGCTCGCGCTCGTGTGTGAGGAGTTCATGGTGCCCTCGCTAGCCATTCTTTGCGATCGCTTCTCCATCCCGCCACACGTTGCCGGCGCGACCCTCCTCGCCGCTGGCTGCAACGCACCGGAGCTCATCGCCTCTGCTATCGCAATGTTCGTGACGCGTTCCACGGTCGGCGCCGGTACAATTGTTGGTTCTGCGCCCTTCAACATACTCGTCATCTGCGGTGCTTCGGCGCTCGCCGTAGGTGGTATAGCGCTTAACCTCTGGCTGGTTGGCCGCGAAGTAGTATGTCTGCTTTCAGTATTGGTTGCATTTGCGATGGTCATGTCTGACGGCAGGGTTGACTGGTACGAAGCCTTGTTTCTGCTCAGCATTTATGTTGGGTACGTGCTGCTGTGTGTGCACTGGGAAAGAGTGCTCACGGGCTTCAGGCAGCTCTTTGGCTTCACAGTGGCCACCGGCGGCTGCGAGGGCGGCTACCACGCCGCCATCGTCTCGGAAAACGATGACGTTCCGGTGGCAGTGGCGGAGCCGCCCTCAGCCGCAACTACTGCGGAGTGGGCGGCTACAATCGCCGAGTGCAAGAGACGCGTCGAGAGACGCAAGGTGGCGGCCTCGCTGGACGCTACGACCCTCACGACTCCGCTGGCTTCGCGGAGGAGTGGAGTACTACTCAAGCGCAGCCGGTGGTGCAACCTTTACGATGACACGGCGAGCGTCCGTGTGCAGCGGTTGCTGTGGATGCCTAAGCTGGTCTTGCTGGACGATGACCCGCTGCGACCCCTTCGCTACACTTCCAGTCTCGATGCTTCCGCGCTCGAACTGCTGAGCGTTCATCCGGAGGCCGGGCACGCGCTGCCGCTGGACGCGTGCGTGAGACTCGCCGTGACAGTAGAGCAAGAGTTGCGCCTCACCGTCGCGCCGCCGCCATTGTCCTCCGACACGGAGTCAGAGCCGGCCCGGATCCTGGAGAGGGCCACGTCCTTCCGGGCCGCAACGCCAGGCGTCAGACGTCCCACCCTGCGACGCAGCCAGACCTTGCCAGCAAGACCCACGGCCAGATCTGGCGGCGAGGAGCACGAGTATGTGTTTCGCGCGCCCACCTCGGCGCCAAGCGCACTGCTGGAGTGGTTTGATGAGCTCGTGTTAAGGCTCGAAGCGATTCGCACCGCATCGGCGCCCCAGCCGCGGCCCAGGAAGGAGGAGGAGGAGCCGGAGGAGGAGGAGGAGGAGGACGCGGAAGAGTTTTTTAGGCTGCCGTCGGGCTGCATGCAGCGGGTGGCGTACCTAGCGCTCTTTCCGCTCGCCGCGCCCATCCACATGACGACGCCTGACGCGCGCCACGCTCGCTGGAAGAAATGGTTCGCTCTCACGCTGCTGATGTCGCTCGTCTGGCTCGTTGTCCTTGCCACCGTGATGACGACCTGCCTCGAGGCGATCGGATGCCTGATCGGTTTCTCTTCGACCGCGATGGGGCTCACGCTCGGCGCCGCGGGCACCTCTTTCCCAAACATGTATGCCAGCGTCCTCGCTGCCCGGCAGGGCGAGGCAGCCATGGCCATCGTGCAAGCGAGGGAGCCCTTGCCCTCGCCCCCTTTCCCTCCGAGACACAGCAGCCGCCCTCCCTCATCCAGGCAAGTCCCACCCCCCACCCACCCTTTGGCAGGCATTCGCGAGCAACGTGTTCAACATCTGCGTCGCACTCGGCGCGCTCTGGCTCGTCCAGGCGACGGCGGGTAACTGCGAGTACATCGAAGGCCGGCCCACCCCGTGCGGCGGCTGCTACTTGCCGGCGGGCGTGAGCGGGATGGCGTGCCCGGGGGTGAGCGGGACTGAGCCCATCCGGCAGCCGGGATCCCTTCAGGGGACGGTGCTCTTCACGTGCCTCTGCGTCGTGGCTGTCCTGCTCTCCGTCGTCTTTGCCGGTGGCAGGCTGCCGGTGGTGGCCGCCGGTGCGCTGGTCGCGCTCTATCTTGTGTTCGCCGTCTACGAAGTGTTGGCAGCGTTCGAGGCGGTGGCACCGCTGTGCGTCATGGGCGTTTGCCTATAGCCCCGGCCGGGGGGGACACTGACGAGACGCCGGCCGGAGACGAAGCGGACACAATGAGCTTTGCGCCGCCGCCTTGCGCGTATTTGTGTGGACGTCACTGACACGTCTCACTTGCCGCACAGTTACTCTTACCCCTCGCTCTCCCCCCCCCACATACTCCACACTGACACCTGAATGCGCGCTGGCCGATGGTGGCGGTGAGGGCGCCAAAGAGCAGTGCTGCGGTCGGCTTGATCTCATGCCTCAGCGTGTGTCGGCCCTCCGCGGACAGAAAGCGATTGTAGTAAGCATAAAAGCAAAAAAAGAAAACGGCGGGTTCGCGTGCACGAGGCATCTCTCCGCGCTGCCCTCGCCCCTTGCTGTCGCGCCGCTGATCGCTTCCGCTTTCCGCGTTCGCAGATGTCGCACCGCAAGTTTGAGAGGCCGCGCCACGGCTCGCTCGGCTT